AGGATGATCCAGGCGCTGGTAATTGGCTACCTGAGTAGTGTAGGTATGGAGACCGGGGCGAGGATCAGAAGGGGTCGTAGCAGGTGACTATTGGTTTAGAACGAACGGGTAATCGTAGTCAGGAAAAGTAGTGGAAATTCGGTTTAGTAGCAATAGTGAGACCTGGAGCCACGCCACATGGGGTGGCGGAAAATCAGAGATACAGAGGGGTGGAAATCTCGTTTTCCGGTCACAAACAAAACAAGGAGTTTAGAAAGGAGAAGAGAAACAGAAAGGAGTGGAAAAGAGGGGAAAGGGGGGGAGGGAGGGGAGAAGAGGAAAAGCGAGAGAGAGAGACCCCGATGAAATGAGAAAGCGAGGAAGATGAAGAAAGGAGAGAGAAGAGAGGGAGAAGAGGAGAAAGGGAGACAAGACGACGAAGATGTAGAAAGATGGTAAGTAACGAGCGAGACGAGACGAGCAAAGAAGGAAGGGTAAGCAAAGCAAGCAAGTACCAGGTGATGAGCCCAACGAGGAGCGACAAGCTGCCTATCTTTCGCAGTGGATTTTCCTACTTGACAGCCAGAAGAGAAGCAAAGCAAAGCAAAGCTATTCTGCCTACCTCCTAGTTTACCGACTAGTACCAACTTACTATGACTACTTTACCTAGTAAGTACCTACACAAAACGGTCCCAAGTCGAGAGCGAGGGACTGAGAGGGCCGAGACACAAACAAACCCGCCCGTTTCTGAACCAGGGGATCTTGTCGGTTGGTTAGTGGTTACACACCGTCGACCCTCCCCGGGGCCGGCCGTCACAGCAGAACCACTTGGAACCAGTCCCAAATAATCCACCACCGGGACGCTTGATTTTTGATTTTCTTCATTGATTTATTTTTTTCTGATTATTATCATGGATCAATTTATTATTATTATTTTATTATTATCACTATTACTATTATTATTATGATTTTTTTTTATTGTCATTAACAGAAGGAGATTAGTTCATTACCGACTTACTTACCTCCTCCATACATACAGCTCTCGCTCTCTCTTTCTCCTCTCTCCCTCTCTCCCTCTCTTTACGCTGCTGTTCAGGTGATGGATTATATGCATCAACCCGTTTCTTTCTAATTGACCACCCCCTCCCCTCCCCTCCCCTTTCTTTTCCCTTACCCACCCAGATGTTCCTTCGTCTAGTAATACTAGTGGATAAAGAACCAACCCATTTTAAGGTCGTTGAGAGGAGATAATGTCCAGCACATACCTGCAGATGCCGCCTTTCAACTCTCCAACGGTAACCCGTTTGCTCTCTTTCTGTGTGATGCATATTTGGTACGTATCTAGCTAGTGCTAAACCAGGAGAGAGATCATAACCTGAATGGTAAGGGAGAATTGAACCACGGAAGACACAAAAATCGATTGTCGAAAAAAATTTCTTCCAAATGTGGGGAAAAGACCACTAGTGGCACCTAAACTGCCAGATTGCAACCCAATCCGATTATTGTTACCAGAAACTAGGGGCAACTTCATTGGTACCTGCCTTAGGGACTGCCTAGCCAGTGAATGACCCATGGTATCTGCCGTACTCCACACTCCATACTTAGAAACCCACTAAACCACAGCAGCTAGTAATTTATCCGGATATTGTTACTGCACAACGCAGCCCACTTTACAACACACTCGGTATGTGTGAGCTCCGTCAGTACCACCTCAAAACAAGGCGCCAATCGATACAGCCTCAGCTCCTCCCGGGGGGAGCCTTTCGGGGCAGGAGGCAAGGCGTTTTCTCCCTTGAAGATCATATTATCTCCTAGAACATACCTAGCCAGATACTGTTGTTCTCTGAGATCATTCTTTACTTAACTTCGTGAGATCTGCTAATTAAGACGAATTTTATAGCCAATGATGTCATGCTAAAGCTTACTATACTCTTCCAACAACACTCACAGATGAGATCTATGCAACCTGATCGGAATTGAGTTTATCGTGATAAGAGAAAGGAAGCTTCTCTGAGAATGTGTAGGCAGCTGCTCCTTAGCCTTTTCGGACGATGCCAAGGAAGTCTCCTCTAGTTATCGAGGGCGCGCGCCTACTATGACATATATTCAATGAGCTCGACATGACCTGTAGAAGTGGTCACCACCGCGGAAAGTACCGTGCAAGACCTTTTCAGACCTACCTACATGAGCCGGATGCACGCTCAATACCCCCGCTCATCTTACCGACGGCAATAACCGCTCCTCATTCACAAAGTACCCTGGAATACTGAGAGCCATGCATGATTACTCCCCATGCCTACTTGGTGGCTTCGCAGTATCTAAGCGATCACACTTACAAAATACAGTAAGCACGATGAAAGATTTTCATGTTCCGCGCCCCGGCCTTAGCTAAGCAGTTAGGCCCCATCCTCGCGACATGAGGAATGCTTAGAGGGGGCGAAATGACGGTCCAACGGGCTTCTTGGGGTGGGGAGACACCGTCCACAGGAGCCATAACTGTGATACGAAAATCTTAGCTTGGCTTCGACCGAGTTTGTTAGAGCCGATGACAATTTTACCAGCCGATACGTACGATCAAAGATCCAGACCAGCAGAGATGCAGTGTAGAAATTTGGTGGGTGGGTTGTGTTCGTTCCTAGTCTGGCGGGCTGGCTAGGGATTGGTACTTGACCACTGATATCCGATAGGTATCTCTGCTGGTTGATCGTATGAAGTAATCCTACTCAGCAGTGTCTTACTCACCTGATACTACTTAACTATCTCCATCGGTCGGACATGGCTGACATTTCACTATTCTGCACTCTTCCATCACCAGAAAACCACTCTGACAGATTTTTTAGTCAGGTACCGCCCACATCAAACAGGGGTGGATGGAGTACCACGATGGGAGTTCATGTTAAACTTCCCGCTCCCAGCCCATCCAATTTCCGCTGGCCACAAGCTAATAAATTGACAATTTTGACAGCCATTGACAGGTCGAGTATGCATTGGCCAAAGCGTGCAGCACCCATCACAATAACGTAAACCGCCCGTAACCCGTAACGGTCGAATCTCCATTGTCAGTTAGGAAGCTGCTGCTCGCAATTACAGTGGGGCCTCTTTTTTCCGACTAAAGAACCTTAGGGTCCAAAGGTTAAGAACTCCAAAACATCAGACTCAGTGCGATGTCTGTCGATCACCGTGATTTTGATCCGGTCGTATGTTCGAAATGAGAAAGTCGCAGGCCTGGACAGTATCGACCTGCGTCAGTGGCTCACTCTAGTCAGCTGCGATCAGACTGGGAGCGGTTCGACTCTCCCGAGATTGAGTGACCTGAGTCATCACCACGCCGAACCCCGGCAACGGAAATAATCTCCTGTTGTTTACTCTGGTCCTTGCAGATTGCTTAGGCGGGCCCGACTCTCCCTAGTCCTTACAAAACAATTGAGAACAAGCGAGTTGGTGTCTAGCCCACTCGAGTCTTCAGTTGGTTCGTACTCGACCGGAAATGCCGAAGCCAGGCCCATGCGAGCCCACTTACGCGCGTGCTGCATTAGAGCTGGAAGAGCACAGAGTAGTCGCGCAATTTTACTACTGACCTTGATACTGTCTAGTTACTACACAATGTTGCTGGCATCCTGTCAAGCTCCCCATTTAGGTAAACGTTAACGATCTCTCTCATCGTTACCTATCTCGTGCTTAGAGCCTGTGATTGTCATGACATCTGCTGGCCCGGCGTATCATCGGACTACTAGTTACCGATACACTCCTACTAGTCTCAAGCTTGTCAGTTTGTCTACTTCGTGACTTCGTCCATGGAGTTCGGACCATCCACCCCCTCGCGATATACTCATAGGTTTGAAGGGTCATCCAGCGCAAATCAGTGGACCAATGTTCCTGATTACTTGAAGACCCGGCTAGATCTCAGTGTAATGAGAGGCACGAGTTGGGAGAGTGAGACAGTCCGTCTGACTAACACCCGCGGGAGCACAAAGCAGCCGCTAGCTTTTCCTGCCTTGCATGTACTGAGGCGAGAGCAGGTGGCCGTCAACCCTTGTTAATGGGGTTTCACTCGGAGAGTTCAGCGTGGCTTAACTGTGTGTACAGCATTCGGGTAGGCAGGGAAAGGTAGCCAACCCTCCCGGTACCATGGTCTTAGGGCAGCTCTAATTAAACGCACAGGACGCCCAGAGTTTTCTTGGTATCAGTAGTATGTTTTGTCTAGTCCCGGTGTCCCCCTCGTTCTAGATAGACAGATAACTAATCGTGCGTCCTCCGCTACCTATGCATGTCATGCTCCATCGGCCATATGGAGCATCCATATTGTGGGTTTTCGTAATCAGTATTCAGTCACTAGTAAATTATCACCGAACAGTCTCGGTGTGAACGCCCTTAGTTGATAGGCGGATTAATTTCCCTTCTATGAGGGGGTGTGGGTCTTCCTAACATTAAGAAGCCGTTGTGTATCCAACCATTTCTGGTACCTGACTCCCCAACTTATTAGGATAGCCGGGTACGTTACCCTTCGCATTTTGTGTTACATGCTGGGCTACATAGTATTTTGCAGAGCTGCTGAAGTGTCATAGGCAACGGAGTATATTTAATGATAAGTATGAGTGAGGAGATACCATGCAGCAAAGCGCTGCAATATAAATGTCCATTCCAGTACCCTGTGCTGCAGTGTGAATGGGCACTGCATTCAATACGTCCATGCACTCTGCACTCCATACAAAATAGTAGCACTCGTACTTCTTCCTTGCGTCGCAAATTCTTTTACTCTTTTCTGAAGTATATACATATGCTTCTGCATATGCTTCTATTGGATTGCCATGGCGACAGTCTATACAGCTCAACACACCGGCGTAATAACACCTACTACTTCCAGGAACCTTCTGCCCGATATCTCATAATGCCAGTTCACACCATCTACATTATGTTGAACTAGTCTACTCACACAACGACGCTGTACTAGCTCCTTCCTATAGTAGCTAATATCACTAACGTGATTTCCTCGAACAGACCTCTGTCAACTGCACCATGCACCCAATTCGCTATTTTTATATAGAATCGAACACATAACACTATGCACCATCACCAAGCACCATCCATTCAAGAAACACACCCACATGCACAACCGGAATGCCACGGAATCTACCACCGACTCAACAACAAAGCCATGACCAAAACCATGGAAGACCGCAACACACCCCAATATTTCCACCAGTGCAGTATCTAGACCACCAGCACGAGGCGCCCAGACCACAAAGCCAGCAACCAGATGCAACTACTACATTCTTAAAACCCACATCGCTAACATCTACCAGATCACAGACACCCGATATGACATATCCGACTGTCAAGGCAACCAGACATTTGCATCTACATACATACATACACACACACACACACACACACACATACATGCTATAACGTCCAAGCATTTAACTCAAAATCAACTGCCAGCAATCCAGCCAGTCCAGTTTACCTCCAACAGACGTTGAAAGAAAGAAAGAAGGAAAATCTTGTTTTGGTTCCCTTGGCACGGAGCTAACGTGAAGCCCGGGAGGTGTTGTAAGGCACCACGTCGGATTGAGCTGGCAGGCAGGCCGGCAGGCAGACAGAGTACTTACAATCTCTGTGTGCGTGCATACATGCATGCATAAGTGCTTTTTTTACGACATCTAACCACCAATATTTTACTACTACCATCATTTCACGCTGCTTTGCTAAGTGGTTCGCATGCTCACTATGATACCCATCCACCACTAAAACACCTAAGCAGGCAAATACCTACATTACATGTGGCATCACCAAAACGCATCGAGATGGATGGAATAGTGTCTTGGACTCGACTCGAGCTCGGGGCCATCGTTTCCACACTAAAGCCCCCCCCCCCCCAACACAAGTCCACCGAACTACGGACAATGTGAGACATAAAAAGAAGTCTAGATTCGACCAGACCCGTTTAGTCTCTAACGGACGTGCGCGCCACGTTGTTAGGAGGGGACTGACTCCATAAATCAAATCTGGACCCATTGCCCATGTCCGACGGCATCCTGCGCCCAATATAATCTCAATCAATATCTGTCGTCGGGATAACACCGGAGTTTGGGCAGTTCAATTTGGGAGATACGGTACGACGGGGATACTTACTCTTGGTTAGTACCAACGCCAAGATCCGAGATAAAAATAAAAAATTTGCAGAGCCATGGCACAGGTTTAGATGGAATTGGGTAAAGTAAATGATGTTCGGGAAAGGATGGAGAAAAATGCAATTTATGAGAGAGAGAAGAAAACAAATAGTAATTTGCTCCAGGTCCTGATACATCCGTTCATTACAATGATCCTTGGGACAGAGAGAAGATGATCGTGACATTGGGACCAGGAGGCAGGAAGAGACACCCGCCCACTGATAAGCGTACATGATAGTAGTCCAATAAAAGAAACAAAATTAACGTGGGAGGAAATTTCCTGCGGGTGCCGATAGTAGATAGTAAGTAATACCCACCAACCATTCCGCGGTTGGGCGTTGAGCGGAATCCGTGGGAATGAATGGTAGTACAACACCAGTAGTAGTACTGTAGTAAGCATTAAGATGGAATAACGATGGTTCTAGCCATCGATCTGAGCAATCGAAGTATACTAGCAAAAATATACTATGAAACCCCCAGTACCATAACAATGATAATAACGACAGGCATCATCACAATAATAAACAACCAGAACAAACAGTCGAAACCATGTCCAAAGTGATGAATGGAAAAAAAAGTAAATACATCCACACCCCATTCCCATATCTTCATTCATTTCATCTCATTTCCAATCAATACAAATAAAATCATTACTGAGTGAACCTCTTCCTCAACCGATTCGGCTCACGTTCCAGAACCCGATATCGACGAGTACTAACATGTCGACTCAGAAACTTCTTTAACGACGACCAAGACTCATCGCGGCTTTTCTCCGCTGTCTGTCTAGTAGTATTGTTATTATTCGTAGTAGTGTAGCCAGTTACATGGCCAAAGAAAGACGCCCGCCGTTTGTTGTAAGGTTCAGGATTACAACACAAATCCACTTCCTCTTGGTCTGCGTGGCGGCGTCGGAGTGAGGTTGTCATTGACTCAGTGCTCATTTCTCTCTCTTTCTCTCTCTCTCTTCTTCCCACACTATGTGCAGGGAAAGCGTGCTTGCACGCGGCGAGACTAATGGAATGGATGTTGGTCCGTGGGCCCTGTTTTTTTCTTTTTGGTTTTATTTGATGGACAGCCACTGACATACACAGTCAGTCAGTCACACACATACACACACCCCTGTACGCCACTAGATAGGTAGATAGATCAAATGGATATATTAATCTGCCTGGTTTTTTTGGTTTGGGCAAGAACAGATCTTAGGGTATAGCCTGGCTGGCTGTTGGCTGATGGTGCCGCTGGGGCTGGCTGCGTGTGTGTATGGTGTTTCCGGGGTCTTGTTGCGGATTTAGGCCGAGAGATGGAACAGGTAATAGACAGGCAACGAAGATTCTGAAGGCGGGGTTGCTTGGTTGGTTGGTCAGGTTTGGTTCGATGGATGATTGAATGAATGAATGAATGGGTGATGAGTGGCGGGTGATCGGATCGGTTTGTTGCGGTTATGCAGGTATGGATCTGTCTTGTATATTGCTAATTTAAACAAGGGTTGTAGTTAAAGAACAGTTTGGCAAATCCGAGGATTATTTTGTTTTGGACTGGCGTTAAGTTCCTAATTGGTAACAGGCTAGATACGTATCATGTACGAAGACGCAAAGCGGCAACAAAGAGGACATATGTCAGTTTACGATCATCAGTAATACGGAGGAGACAGTCAGTAGGTTAGTTAGTTAGTTAGTCAAGCTGTTCGCAGGTGTGAGACTATGGCTAACTACTTAGGAGCTACATTGGGAAACTTTCACTTGCCCGGGCACAGGCAGCATGGTTAGTCTGTCTACTGACTACTCAGGGTGATTATTCCGGGTCCCTCGGAGGGGCGGCGGGAATGAAAGAGGGACTTGATCCATGGTTTGCCGACGCGGACGGAGAGCCAGTAGTGAAGCAGCGTGGTGGATGATCCAGTGTTGGGACCGGTGTTCTGCGAGAAAAAAAAATGCACGTGTTTTTTAATCGATTATTTACCCCACCTATAGGTGACAGATGTAATACTTCGCGATCGATTGTTCTACTTCTAGAAGTATTCGATTATTAGTAGATACTCTCGTTTGTGTCTGGGGAAGTTTGCGATGGTATGATTCCCTAGTAACTATGCTATGAGCATGGGGAGAGCCTGAAAGATCATAACGATCGATCGATTGATTGCATGTCTTACAGCCGGCTGATTCGTCTCTTCGGATTTCGTTCGTATCCGATGGTATCATTAATTGATAAGCTTACAGGGATCCATCGGCTGACGTGGAAGAGCTCCAGTGAGGACGGCTTGGCTGATGTTTGTCCGTTAGTTGCTCGCTAATGTTCACTGTCCTGAGTTATGCACTCATATGGAAGCAGCTGAGAACCACGGTTCAATGAAGGACAAAAATAGTTGACATGGTATGTTCCGTAATTTCCTCTGCGATGGTAGTTGATCTGTTGGGTTGTCCGTGCTGTGGGCCATGACAAAGATATACTATCAGGCTCGGTTAGTTGCATCTCACCGCCAGGTTCAGTAGTACTACTATGATATGACCGGATGATCGTATCAGGTTCATTATTTGGCTTACACCGCCAGGTAGATGGGAAGTAAATGGCCCTGTCTCTACCGATGTATCATTTGATGATCCTGTTCAGTAAGATATCGTGTGCTATGTGAGCTCCTTTGAGATGCTGTTGTGATCGGTAGTAGTATCAGGCCTAAGAGAGGAATATATAACTAGTACTGTGTTCTAATCTGGCAATCTTCCTACATACCTAAGTTCAGTTTATGCATATCAGCAAGTAACTAGTGGGCAGTAATCTGACCAGACTTGATGTGTTCATATTGTGTCGCACAATATATATAGGTCCTACCATATGATTGACATTTTCCTTAAGGCCTCACAAGTAACCGAGATTACATTTGGTATATAATACTAAAACTAGATGGGCATTATAACAGCCCAAGCATGTTAGCTCAGGGGAAGAGCGCCGGGCTCATAACCCGGAGGTCCCTGGATCGAAACCAGGACATGCTATCTGATTTCTTTTTATATTTTTTTCCCCCTCATCACTCATCCTCAGTTTTGATAATCTTTATTATTTTGATTGATTGAATCCCAGTTTAAGTAACATTCTGACACCCGCAAAGAAATTATATACCAGCCTCTCAAAGCTCGAAAGGGTTCATGATATACTTGCTCGTTGCTAGCTTTACTCTCCGTGATTAAGCTCACAGTTCTAGCACGTGATGCGCCGGCCGCCCTTGAGGGATGCCAAGCCGGCCAACTCGCAAAGGACGGGCGAGGCTCTCGACGACTGCGTTGCTGCTGCTGCATCCGACCATTACTCCCTGACCCCGTCATTCTTATTTCCTCCATATCACCGACCTCCGGATCGCGCAGACTGGTCTCTTCGCATCCGTTCTTTTTCTCCGACCCTCCCCTTCTCGTCGATCCACCCCCTTCTTTTCACCTCCCCGTCCGGGGGTCCTTGTGGCCGCCATGGCATCCCGTAGGTGTCCTTGTGTTGAACCCTCCCCCACATTGCTATACTGCTCCCATGCCCCTGTCCCCGGAATTCGATCGCTAACTGTCGCCCCCTCTCCCGCCTATCATGTATAGTCAAGCAGTTTATCCGAAATGTGCGGTCTGCCAAAACAATCGCCGATGAACGAGCAGTCATTCAAAAGGAGAGTGCGGCCATCCGTGCGTCTTTCAGGGAAGAGAGCCATGATTCGGGCATCCGGTTAGCATTAGCACCGCCAACCTCTACAACCCCTCGAACCCACCGCTTACTTCTTTGCGCAGGAGAAACAATGTGGCCAAGCTTCTCTATTTATTCACACTCGGTGAACGGACACACTTTGGTCAAATCGAATGTCTGAAGCTACTGGCCTCCCACCGTTTCGCCGACAAGCGCCTGGGATACTTGGGAACGATGCTGTTACTGGATGAGAACCAAGAAGTTTTGACGCTGGTAACGAACTCATTGAAGAAGTGAGTTTCGTATGCAAGATCGGCGTAGAATCTCCTGGCTGATGTCTTGCAGTGACCTTAATCACTCCAACCAATACATCGTCGGCTTGGCCCTCTGCGCCCTGGGCAATATCGCCTCCGTCGAAATGTCCCGAGACCTTTTCCCCGAAGTCGAAAACTTAATGTCTACTGCAAACCCTTATATTCGGAGGAAGGCGGCGCTGTGTGCTATGCGTGTATGTCGCAAGGTTCCCGACCTGCAGGAGCATTTCCTGGAAAAGGCAAAGACTCTTCTGTCGGACAGGAACCACGGTGTTCTGCTGTGCGGTTTAACACTTGCGATTGACATGTGTGAAGCCGAGGAGGCGGAAGAAGGACAGGAGGGTGTGATCGAGATGTTCCGGCCGTTGGCTGGTGGTCTTGTGCGCTCCCTAAAGGGGTTGACCACCTCGGGATACGCCCCAGAACATGACGTCTCCGGTATCACCGATCCCTTCCTCCAAGTGAAGATCCTGCGCCTTCTCAGAGTACTAGGAAGAGGGGATGCGGCGACCAGCGAAATGATCAACGACATTCTGGCCCAGGTGGCCACCAACACTGATTCGACGAAGAACGTCGGCAACGCTATTCTCTACGAGGCTGTCCTGACAATCCTCGATATCGAAGCGGATTCTGGACTGAGGGTGCTGGGTGTTAACATTCTTGGAAAGTTCCTGACCAACAAGGACAACAATATTCGTTACGTTGCTCTTAACACGCTGAACAAAGTTGTTGCAATTGAGCCCAACGCCGTTCAGCGGCACCGCAACACCATCCTGGAGTGTCTCCGCGACCCGGACATCAGTATCAGAAGGCGTGCCCTTGATCTCAGTTTCATGCTGATCAATGAGAGTAACGTGCGCGTTCTCGTTCGCGAGCTGCTCGCCTTCCTGGAAGTTGCCGACAACGAGTTCAAGCCAGCCATGACTACTCAAATTGGCATCGCTGCTGACCGATATGCCCCCAACAAACGCTGGCATGTTGATACGATTCTCCGTGTACTCAAGCTTGCCGGTGCCTATGTTAAGGAGCAGATCCTCTCGTCTTTTGTTCGCCTCATCGCCACCACACCAGAGCTGCAGACCTACTCTGTGCAGAAGCTTTATCTCTCGCTGAAAGAAGACATCTCGCAAGAAGGCCTTACCCTTGCGGCTACCTGGGTCATTGGCGAGTACGGTGACAACCTTCTCCGTGGCGGTCAATATGAGGAAGAGGAGCTGGTCAAAGAGGTCAGGGAGAGCGACATTGTTGACCTATTCACCAACATACTCAATAGCACATACGCCACGCAAACAGTGGTGGAGTACATCACTACGGCCTCTATGAAGCTCACCGTGCGCATGTCCGATGCAGCACAGGTTGAGCGGCTCCGTCGCTTCCTCAGCAGCCGGACTGCCGATCTGAGTGTTGAAATTCAACAGCGGGCTGTCGAGTATGTCAACCTGTTCGGCTACGACCAGATTCGTCGTGGAG